ATATGATTAAACCATGTTTATCTGCATTTTAGTTGTTTCTTTCTGTAGCTTACACACTATATACCATAATGTCAACATAAAAGGAAAACATTAAACTGAAAAAGACTAGATTTATGTTTAAATCCAAAGCCGAAGAAGTAAGCTCCCAGAAGTATAATAGGATCCCATTTCCGGGACAGATCGGACACAGAGGAGTAATAAAACAGAAAGGATCTTACAGAATTTATTTTCTCGGGAAATACACTATATCTATATAATAGTTTAGTATGCTTACCATTTTTAAGAAGGTAAAAACGTAATTTAAGTATTTTTTTTGAAAAATAAAATCGAGGGCGACCCAGATGTAGATCTGATTGCGCATTTGCAAATGAGCTGATGGTACGGATCGTGTTTCCAGGACGGATGGGGTAGTGACAAAAGGTCCACATGTGAATAGGGGAGAATCTACAGGGCCGAGGAAAGCAAGCCACCAGAGGAGAGAATGGATTCTGTATGTGTGATATATTGGGGCAGTGAATCTAATTGCATAAAATTTTCAAAATATGCATGAAGAGTATTGTATGTGTGTGTGTACTAAATAAAATTGATGGTATTAGTAATTATTGTGTGTGTGCCTTTTGGGCAGAATTCTGACTTCATAGCTCTGATCAAGCCATCATCTGAACACGGAGAGAGGAGGGACCAACTGTAGACCTGCCAAGACATGGAAATCCACCTGGACTCCAGGAAATGACTCAGGTTAGAGAACAAATTGGCATATATCACTCTGAATATCCGGCCTTCCTGGGAAGTGGGAAGAAATCCACTCGGATAGAGGAAACCTTGGTTTCCAACTGGCTTAAAGCACACATGAAACTAACCATTAACACAACACACAAAATACTACTCCCTCAGCAAACAGAGGTGGCAGCACCCTGCAGTGGGTATGGAGTTTCCTCTGCAGGGAAATGATTTATAAGACTATGGATGGAAGATAATCTGCAGGCTGCAGAGAACTGACTGTGGCAGAGGTTCTTCTTCAAGTGGGCCACCTACTCCGAACCCTGTGTAGATCATTGGCGAGCAAGCTAGAGCTTTATCATTAAAACTCATCATTCTACTGGTTTATCACGTAAAACCCCAGTAAAATACAACACATGTTGAGGCTGTGGGAATGTTAAGGAGGTCTGAGTGATGTCACAGGAATGGGGCCTTTTGTTCGTCCCTTCTTCATGTTAGAGGTATTTGAAAACAGGGACATCTAAAGACATCAGATTTGGATTTTTCAGCTGACCGCTTGGGGGCAGCCTGTCTTCCTTTATAGAAAGGTCAAAGCGTCAGCACAAAGCCCAATTACCTCATCATAAGGCTGAATTCATTCTGGCAAGTATCGTTATGACTTCTGTCTTGCTGATCTGCACCTAGAGGCGATGTTTTTGCACCCGCTGACCCTTGCATAGCAACGTGACCGTCATTTAGCACATTTCCCACAGTGGCACCTCTGTGCCCTGATCCAATAAGCTGTAGCTGCTATTGATCCCTTTCTGTTCCGTTCACCAATACAGTGAGGCCACTGCCTCTTCCAAAATACCCCCCGCCCCCTTCCCTCCCCTCAGGGATGCAATTATCCTCACTGAGAATGACACAATGCTATTGAACCACAAACTAAAGCATTAACCAGAATCCACTATGTTGCCATTTTACTCAACTTTTCCTTCAAGGGTAGAGCATCAAAGTGGCAGCGGAAAATAGGGAAGTCTGTTCAGGATGAACCGGATCAGGGAAACTTACATCATGCATGGCGTCCAGCAGCTTGGTGAGCTGGAAGAAGCGCTGCCAGGTTTGGCCAGAGTTGTTGGTGGCCTTTCCCACAGAGCGCCGCAGCTCCTTGATGTAATTCACCCTCATCTCCTCGAACGCTGCCTGGTTCTTCAGGCCCTCTTTAGGAACTGGAAAACAAACATTATCTGAATTACATAAAAACAACAACAAATAAACTTTTCCATACTCCATCCCTTTAAAAGAACATCAGCCAATCTTGGTGAAAAATTACTAGAGCAGATTTTTGTCAATAATCTGCAGATTTTTGTTGAAAATGTTGGGCCTGGATTTACTTCTTTAATCATCTTAATACATTGGAAATGGCTAGGA